CAGTTCGTGACCCCACCGCGTCGTTCGCGACCCCACCGCGCGGTTCGTGACCCCACCTCGCAGTTCGTGACCCCATCTCGTCGTTCGTGACCCCACCGCGTCGTTCGTGACCCCACCTCGTCGTTCGTGACCCCACCGCGTCGTTCGTGACCCCACCGCGCGGTTCGTGACCCCACCGCGCGGTTCGTGACCCCACCGCGTCGTTCGTGACCCCACCGCGCGGTTCGTGACCCCACCGCATCGTCCGTGACCCCACCGCATCGTCCGTGACCCCACCGCGTCGTTCGTGACCCCACCGCGTCGTTCGTGACCCCACCGCGCGGTTCGTGACCCCACCGCGTCGTTCGTGACCCCACCGCGTCGTTCGTGACCCCACCGCGTCGTTCGTGACCCCCGCGTCGTTCGTGACCCCACCGCGTCGTCCGCGGCGAGGGTCACGTGCCGGAGGTGCTCGCCAATTGGCAAATTCCCCGCGGGCAAACCATGCGGGGTGAGGGGGTATGCTACGAATAGCTTGTCTTTTTAAATGAATTTTAACCTTAGACGAAAATATATATACGGAAATAAGCTATTGAATAACATGAAAAATAATGTCATCACTTTTATCTCTCACCACTTTAACGCATAATTTAATCTCATCGCTTGCTCTCTCTCTCTCTCGATGCGGTATCCGCGTAGCGTTCCAGATGCGATTTGCGGATAGCAAGTTTGTGAGTAACGAGCAGAGAGACTTTTTGACTTTTAAACAACTCTTATTGCCTCCAGCAGCAAACACCGGAGGCGATTCCAATATGAAAACCAGTCACCAGCAAACGAAAGAAAACAAATGTTACATATCGTTACAAATCTACGTGTTGTGGTGCTGAAAGCACCGCACACAACACAAAAGAAAAAAGTCACGTGGTTGTGGTGTCATCGCGCACGCCACGGTGACGAGCGAGCGTTTCAGAAAGTGAACACGAGGGTGCCGTCCACGCTGGTGCAAAGGGCCTTTCCGAGAGAGAGAGAGAGCGAGAGACAGAGCGAGAGAGAGAGAACGAGAGACAAGAGAGGGGGAGAGAGTGAGCGAGAGAGTGCGCTAGAGGGGGGGGGAGGGTTACATAAAGCCCAGTTAAAAAAAAACATTTACGAAATGATGAACGAAGCAAAGTGCCGAATACACCGAGCATCTTATTGTTTCCAAGTATTACCCGACAACGAACTCGAGTGCTGAGGAGGCCGATCAGGAGGGCGCCCGCTACCCTGGGCGCCGCCGCCACCTCGGCGTTCCCACCACCAGGCACAGCGCCATCTCCGGCGGCGCTGCCTGGTGGTGCACCGCTGCCTGGGTGGTGCACCGCTGCCTGGTGGTGCACCGCTGCCTGGTGGTGCACCGCTGCCTGGTGGTGCACCGCTGCCTGGTGGTGCACCGCTGCCTGGTGGTGCACCGCTGCCTGGTGGTGCACCGCTGCCTGGTGGTGCACCGCTGCCTGGTGGTGCACCGCTGCCTGGTGGTGCACCGCTGCTGGTGGTGCACGCTGCCTGGTGGTGCACCGCTGCCTGGTGGTGCACCGCTGCCTGGTGGTGCACCGCTGCTGGTGGTGCACCGCTGCCTGGTGGTGCACCGCTGCATTGCGGTGCCGCAGCCGCGTCGCCAGCAGGCCCCGCAGGAGCCGCTCTGGCGCTGGTGCCGGCGGCGGCAGCGGCGGTTGCGGCCGACCCAGACTGCGCCGCTCAGCGCCGTCGTCACCCGCCGCCGTGCTGCATGACCATGAATCGGCCTGAGCTCCTGGCAGCGGCGGCGGGAGCAACAGCAGCAGCAACATCAGCAGCAAAGCAGCAGCAACAACAGCAGCAGCAACATCAGCAACAACAGCAGCAGCAACAGCAGCAACAACAACAGCAACAACAGCAGCAACAACAGCAGCAGCAACAGCAGCAGCAACAGCAGCAGCAACAACAACAACAACAGCAGCAACAGCAACAACAGCAGCAACAACAACAGCAACAAGAACAACACACAGCAGCAGCAACAGCAGCAACCGGTGGCGGTGGTGGCGGTGGGCGCTGGCGTCGAGCGGGAGGAGGAGGGGGACCTGCGCCGTCGTCTCGAGCACTCGGCGAGACTGAGCAGGGCGCTGCTGCGTCTGGCACGGAGACAACAATTGGCGCTTGTGGCGGGCGGCCTGGTGCCCACTCGCGTGGACACACGGTAGGCCTGGTGCCCACTCGCGTGGACACACGGTAGGCCTGGTGCCCACTCGCGCGGACACACGGTAGGCCTGGTGCCCACTCGCGCGGACACACGGTAGGCCTGGTGCCCACTCGCGTGGACACACGGGCGGCCTGGTGCCCACTCGCGCGGACACACGGGCGGCCTGGTGCCCACTCGCGTGGACACACGGGCGGCCTGGTGCCCACTCGCGCGGACACACGGGCGGCCTGGTGCCCACTCGCGTGGACACACGGGCGGCCTGGTGCCCACTCGCGCGGACACACGGGCGGCCTGGTGCCCACTCGCGCGGACACACGGTAGGCCTGGTGCCCACTCGCGCGGACACACGGGCGGCCTGGTGCCCACGCGCGGACACACACGGCGGCCTGGTGCCCACTCGCGTGGACACACGGGCGGCCTGGTGCCCACTCGCGTGGACACACGGGCGGCCTGGTGCCCACTCGCGTGGACACACGGGCGGCCTGGTGCCCACTCGCGTGGACACACGGGCGGCCTGGTGCCCACTCGCGTGGACACACGGGCGGCCTGGTGCCCACTCGCGCGGACACACGGGCGGCCTGGTGCCCACTCGCGTGGACACACGGGCGGCCCGGTGCCCACTCGCGTGGACACACGGGCGGCCCGGTGCCCACTCGCGGGACACACGGGCGGCCCGGTGCCCACTCGCGCGGACACACGGCGGCCTGGTGCCCACTCGCGCGGACACACGGGCGCCTGGTGCCCACTCGCGTGGACACACGGGCGGCCCGGTGCCCACTCGCGGGACACACGGTAGGCCCGGTGCCCACTCGCGCGGACACACGGGCGGCCCGGTGCCCACTCGCGTGGACACAGGCGGCCCGTGCCCACTCGCGCGGACACACGGGCGGCCCGGTGCCCACTCGCGCGGACACACGGGCGGCCCCGTGCCCACTCGCGGACACACGGGCGGCCCGGTGCCCACTCGCGTGGACACACGGGCGGCCCGTGCCCACGCGTCACGTGGGCACGGGCGGCCTGCTGCTGCTGCTGCGTCACGTGGGCCGCCACCGGCGGCGCTAGGGGGGCGGCGCCGTCGGGTTTTTAAATACTCGTAGTTTTTATTAATCTTCACTTTGTATTTGTTGCACGCGCACATTTATTTAGCAAATGCAGAGACACGACTTTGATTTGTTTAGAGTATTTTTTTTCTAATTGACACTTTTATTAAAATATTTGCTTAAAAAAAAAAGAGAGTGGGGGGGGGCAAAGTGATTGCTAAGTCCTTGGGACGGCAGTTCACCCAGCGGCGCCAACCCCCGCCACCAAAAGTCATCTGCGTCGCCGCCGCCGCTGCAAAGTCGACAATCCGCGAAGCTCTTTGAGCACGCGCTCGTCGCTTACGGCCCTTATAGTAGAACCGTTTTCTCTTGCAAAGCAGAGGTTGTTTTTGTTGCTGTTGGGGTATCGAGCACGTAAATGTGTCGTCAAACCCGCCGCCGCCACCACCACCTGACACAGCCAGTCGGTAATTGTTTTGCACGTGAACAAAACGTGGCCAATTCGTCACTGGTTCAGCACCCGCGCCGGTTGCGCGTTGGAGACTGAACCCACTGCAATGTTCACAATTCGAGTTTCGCCGCTAATTGACAACCGCCAGCATCGTCGTCGTCATCATCGGGCGCACTGATCGCTGGCGTAACGCCGCGGGCCACTGGAATTCGTCGGTGCCTAACCAAGGAACGAATTGGCCACGTTCAGAGGTCGCAATCGGGTACCCGATACCCGTACCCTACCCGATACCCGGCTACCCGGCCGGGTACGGGTACCCGTTTGCGACCCTGGTGCGGCCGGGTACGGGTAGGCCGTGAGTCACCGGTGAGTCACCGTTTGTCACTCATTTCCCAACGTCTTGTCTCTTCTCACAATTCAAGTTCCTAGAATCAACCCACCCGCGCCTGCAACGTGGCTTCATCCCAGAGGTCGCAATCAGGTACCCGATACCCGTACCCGTACCCGGCCGGGTACGGGTACGGGTACGGGTACGGCTGGGTACGGGTACCCGTTTGCGACCCTGGTGTGGCCGGGTACGGGTAAGGAATCAAAACCCGTTTGCGACCTCTGGCCACGTTTCGTTTACGTGACCAAACCTCACGAATTGGCCGTGTCTTGCGGCACGCGTTCATCTTGACGCGATCGGACCACCCGAACGGACAACCTCGACTGTGGCCAATGTCGGAGCCAGGATTTTCAGGTCGAGGTGTGGGGGGGGGGGGCAGGGGGGGGGGCAGGGGGGGGCAGGGGGGGGGGCAACCCCTCCAGCGATGAAAAATGATAGAGGAGTTTTTAGCAAGTGAGGAATTGTCCCTTGCTTTGTATTCGACGCGTGTGCGGCGATGGCGCGGCCGTCGATCGAGGGTTCGATTTCGAACCGCGTCGTGTGATCGGCATCGCGCTCGCTGAAGGTGTCGATGCCTTCAGGGAAGTCGTGGACTGTGTATACGAAACTGCGCACAATTGTGAGTCGCTTATAACTGCTTTGCCGTTACTTATTGCCAATTATGGACTCAGACTATTGTTCTATCATCTCATACAGTCCCTGGCACAATATGCTACACAGTGGCAGTGGGGGTCGCAAAATCCCGCTTTATTACAAATAAACCCCAATGATCCGATCGAAATCCCGAATTTCGATCGGATCGGGGGGGGGGGGAGCACGTGACCCCCCCACCCACCCCTCCCACCGGCTCTCGCAAGTAACCGTGGCGAACATTGGCCGCGAAAGCCCCTCCCGACTGCGGCGCGTTTAACGCAACCGGATTCGTCGCTAAACTTTGTTCTGTCGCCCGCCCTGGGAGAGAGACGCGGGGCGACGATGCAACGGGTCGCGCAGCCACGGGTAAAACCCGCCGCCGGTATTTTATAGAAAGCGAGCGTGCGTCTACCGTATGCTCTGTATATGTGTGTGGAGGGAGAGAGCGAGAGAACGTCTCTCTACAATGTGTACATAGTGGTTTTATTTATGGCTTGTGTATTGCACACGGACAGAGTGTAAAGATAACTATCGGCTTGTTATTTTGGATTGGGGGGGGGGCTGCTGCTGCACGCGAAGGCGATTAAAAGATTTCTACTTTCACGCGGCGCTTGCGACGTCTCTGCTTGAGCGGGAAACGGCGGGTGGCAGAGGTCGCAACCGGGTACCCGATACCCGTACCCTACCCGATACCCGGCTACCCATACCTGGGTACGGGTATCCGCTTGCGACCCTGGTGTGGCCGGGTACGGGTAGGCCGTGAGTCACTGGTGAGTCACCGTTTGTCACTCATTTCCCAACGTCTTGTCTCTTCTCGCAATTCAAGTTCCTAGAATCAACCCACCCGCGCCTGCAACATGGCTTCATCCCAGAGGTCGCAATCGGGTACCCGATACCCGTAACCCTACCCTGGTCCACACCCGAGACAGCTTTCCTTTGAGTTGTGCGCCTTTTGGCGTCATCTGGTCCAACCCATGTGAGACTAGGCTCTAAGGAAATCTGTCTCGGGTGTGGACCAATCAACTTCAAGGACAGTGCATACATTATCAGAGTTATGTTTTTTTTTGCATTATGGCTGCAGGTATTGCGGTCAATGCAAACATGACTCCTTGTAAAAAAAAGGTGTCAGTTTTGTTGCCAGATAGAAGGGTAAAAAACTAATTATCGAGCGGTAGCGTAGACGCGGCTAGCGTTACGCTGCGCTTCGAGTTCGATTCCCCGCTCACGGCCAACAACAAGCGACGATTATCCGAACAGTTCCCGATCAAATATCTTTCAGCAGGACCCTCCTGAAAGCGCACTGGGAACGTGGTCAAGACTTTCCGTGATAAAAACAATCCCTTTTAAATCGTAATGACAACGCTACACGTATACAGATTTTATTGAAATGGCAGTTATAGAAATGTACGCATTGACTATTGAAACAGCTCGCAAACGCCCTAACGTAATGGGAGCGCGCGGGGTCGTGGTGGTCCAGCAAAAACTAAATAACTTGATAACCCACATGGAACAGAAATGATAAATCGGGTTTTTTTGGGGGCGGGTGCAGATTTTATTATTCAACAACCATAATCCCCCTGCTCCCTGTCTGCCACCAGACCAGATCCAATCGAATCGAGTGGCCACGTGGGAGAGGGGAGAGGGGCAAATGCACCGATTGGTTCGCTTTTTCAGCAATCCGCAGGACGATGAACAGTGACGTGGCAAGAAGACGTCGACTATTTTACACTTTTTCGATTTAAAGCTTTCGTGACTGCAGGAATTCATCTTCTTGGTTCTTTCGGTAAAGTCACGTAGAAGGGAAATAATACAAAAAATAAACAATAAAATTATTCTCACGACGTTTCGGCCCCAACGCAAGCAGCCGTCCTCAGGTGAAGACCAGGTCTGTCGGGGAGACAGTCATTCAGACGCCGTCTCCCCGACAGGTGAAGACCTGTTCTTCACCTGAGGACGGCTGCTTGCGTTGTGGCCGAAACGTCGTGAGAATTATTTTATTGTGTTTTTTTGTATTACTTTATTATGTTTTATTTCTTAAATTTTATTACTTCCCTTCAACGTGACTTTACCAAAAGAACCAAGAAGATATTTTATACTTGGCTGTTCGCGACCAATATTATCCACGATAAAGTTTATTTTTTTCTCTTTCGGGTTAGATCGCGTAGATATAAACGCAGCCGATTAGGAAGGTTTCGTCACTTAAACATTCACATTTGCTGCGGGTTTACTCTCCCAACACGACTGCTGTGTGCTGAACTTGTCGTAGCCAATCGGCACGCTTTGTTCACGCGACTATACTCCTTGCTAACTGGCCGTGTCGGGTGGTGGCCGCGAGTTTAACGGCATATTTACGTTTACGCGATCCAACCAAACTAAAAAAAACGAACCTCGATTGTGGATGACACTTTGCCGTTCGCCCGTGACACCGAATCGATGGCCTCATTCTCTCCCCCCCCCCCCCACTCGGCAACTTGAAAAAGAGGAGAGCCGTGTAGTTCAGCCAGGGCCTGACCTGCTACAAATTGTCGTAGAGCTTAATAGAGTAAGACGAGACATGATCTCATCCACGCCAGCTCAGGAGCTAAGCCACAGCCATTATGAAACCTCCCCCCCGCCCCCCGCAGTCTGCCCCCCCCCCACATCCCCCCCTACCCCCCACCCCCCACCACGACCACCGCCGCTCAATAAGTTTAAGATCGCAGCGTGCCGGCCGCCCCCATCCTGCTGCGTTTCTCCATCGCCCAGCGGCTCCTCTTGAGCGGCTTCGCTCCCTTCTTCTTGTGCCCCGGGGGGATGTGTCGTGCGCCGGCGGCCTGCGGGGACGACCGTCGTCGTCGCCGTCGGCAGCCGCCGTTGCCGCGGGTCGCGCGGGCGCAGGCGGGCCTACGAAGACGCCCTCGGTGGGGTCTTCGGGGAAGGCGCGGAGGTCGTCGCGGGGTCCGCCCTCCTGCTGCTCCTGCTGCTTCTGCTGCAGCTTCTCCCGCAGCGCCGCCGTCTGCTGCTGGCGCAGCTGGCGACGGTGCTGCTCGCGCGCACACAAAGGGGGGCCCCACCCCCCGTTTCCGAACGGACGACAGCTACATTAGTTTTTTTTCTCCCACCGCGCAAAGCCTGGCACGGCTGTCCGGGGGGGTTGTTTGTCCGTTACGCAGACACCCCCCCCCCCACCACCGTCCGCTCTGCAACCCTCTGCGCGCTTTAGGATATGAAAGCGTGGCGATCTGCGTTTTTTCGCAACGTCCGTGCGCGCGCCCTGCGCTCGTAATGCCGGGGGGGGGGGGATCGCTCTGTGCCAAAGAGAAGAGTCGACAATCTGCGTTTCCCCCACCACACCACCACACCCCACCCCCCCCCCCACCCCCCCCCACCACCCGGTGCCGGTCGTACCGTGTTGGGGGAGAGGTAGTGGCTGTTCTCGTACAGCGTGGGGCCCCCGAAGCTGCCCTGGAAGAGACGGATGAGTTGCAGGACGAAGCGGGGTCCCATCTCCACGAGCTGTCCGTCCTCCTCCACAATCTACAAAGACAAAGATGCCCCCTCGCCATCTTAGTACAACCTCTAACGGTCCGTCGGGGGCGAGTGCCGTCAGGCGAAGTCGCGAGCAGCGCCACCGCCCTACGAAGGCCGGCACGGCGGCACGCGACGGGGTGGTTGGTTGTGGCCAGCGTCGTGCCCGCACGCGCGTGCCTACGCGATGAATCTGGTAGATTTGTGGGTGAGGAGGGTGCCGTGTGGGGGTGAGGAGTGTGGGTTGTGTGGGTGAGGAGTGGTGAGGTGTGAGGGTGAGGAGTGGTGAGGTTGTGTGGGTGAGGAGGGTGGTGGTGGGTGAGGAGTGGTGAGGTTGTGTGGGTGAGGAGCGGTGAGGTTGTGTGGGTGAGGAGCGGTGAGGTGTGTGGGTGAGGAGCGGTGAGGTTGTGGGGTGAGGAGTGGTGAGGTTGTGTGGGTGAGGAGCGGTGGGTGTGGGGTGAGGAGTGGTGAGGTT